CCCTGGAGCTACAGCAGGGATGGGATGCAGGGATGGATCCCTGGAGCCACAGCAGGGATGGAGGGATGGAGGGATGGATCCCTGGAACCGCAGCAGGGATGGGATGGAGAGATGGATCCCTGGAGCTGCAGCAGGGATGGAGGGATGCAGGGATGGATCCCTGGAGCCGCAGCAGGAGCAGAGGAGGGACATCCTCAGCTGTCGGAGCCGTCTGGGAGCTCTGGGCATTCCCGCCCTCCCGGCCCACCCCGAATTCCACCCTCACAGCTGCTTGGCTCAGTCGGGTTTAATTCTGGCCGTGCCCCCTCCCAGAGCTGCTGCCCCTTTAATCCAGCCCCAGACACTCGGCTCTCTCACGAGGGGCCCCCCTGAATCCTCTCCAGAAGGATCCCCGGGTGGTCGAGTTACACAGGTTCTATTTTCACCCCGGCAGGAAGGAACAATCCAATCCCTCCCTCAGCCTTTCCCGGGGGTGTTTTCCTTGGCTTTGTTGTGTTCCCTTGGGGACATTCCTTTGTCACCAGCCCGGGGCTGCCCCAGCTCTACTGTGCCCTGGCGCCTCCTCGGTGCCCCGATGGCACAGGGAAGGTGGAGGGTGGGGGACCTGGAGGTTGGGTTGCGTTGCCTCTGGAAGGTCTGGGGAAGGAATATTCCCAATGGGAGACGCCGTTCCCAGCCTCGTCACCACGAGGGTCGCGTGGGGCTCTCCTGGTCCAGCCCACGTTGTGTCCATGACCCGAAGGCAATGAATGATCCGTTGGGTTGGTGACCCGGTGTCCCAAGGATGGGGATAATTCTGGGATACAGGCAATGGCCCTGCAGGGAACCAGAACTGTCCAGGAAATGGGAGGGAAGAGGTGGCTGCGTTTCCTGGTGGGTTCCTTGGTGATGTGAAGCAGGGGGATGTGTGGGGTGGGATGTGATTTCCTTGTGCTTCCCTTGGTGTCCTGAGCTGCCTTTCCGGTCCCCAGAGCTCCCGAAGATCCGGATGCCTCGGCACCTGCGGGAGACTTACATCAGGCGTGTGGGGGACGCCGTGAACATCATGATCCCTTTCCAGGTAGGTGGGTGCTTTGGGATTCAATCCCCCTGGGGGTTTTCACTCCAGATTAGATCCTGGAGTGAGTTTTCTGGCCCTCATGACGTGCCTGGGCCCAGCTGTGCTCTGACTTGGCCTGGTCCTGTATCTCATGAGCCAAGGATGGGAAATGGGGTGGGAACCTCTTTCCCATTCCTGCCCAGCTCCTGTTTTTTCCCTGCTACACCTTTCTTGGTGGTGCTGGCAATGGGACAACCCCAAACACCCCAGGACACCCCAAACGTGGACATGGGCTGGCTGCTGCTGCTGTCTCAGCCCATTGGCCCCGTCCAGCCCCGGGACCCCACAGCTCAGCACTGGGGTCCCCTTGAGGGGAGCAGCTGCCTTGCAGGGCTGTGGGATGGGGGCAGCAGGGCTGTGGGATGGGGGGAACAGGGCTGTGGGATGGGGAGCGATGCTGGCGCTGGTGGGAAAAGCTGGAGGTCATCCCCTCGACTGATCTGTCTCACCCTGGCTGGGACATCACCCAAACATCTCCACCATGGTCTGGGATGGGCAAAACCAGCCCTGAAATGTGTTGGCCAAGCAGGGGGGAGTGAGAGGCCCCTGAGATGAGGGACATGTCCCAGAGAAATCTGGGACCTTGTGCTGGCCACGCTCCAGGCATGGATTTTCCCTGGATGCCAGATTTAAGCCCATGCTGTTGGGCTTGAGCCTGGGCTCAGCTCAGCACCTGGGAAACGAGAGGACAGCTCTGGGAGAGAGAAGGAATTTGGGGAACCGGCACGTTCCAGCCTCATCCTTGGAGTCCAATGGCTTCCCATTCCTGATGCCCAGGACTGGAGCTGATCTGGGGCTGGAGCTGATCCGGGGCTGGAGCTGATCTGGGGCTGGAGCTGATCCGGGGCTGGCAGGGATCGGCTCCAGGTCCTTCCCTGGGATGCTCCGGGCACAGCAGGGTGGTCCTGCCCACCCTCACCCCGTGCGCTCCAGCGGCTCCAACCTGCCTCTGCTCCAGGGGAAGCCCCAGCCCGAGGTGACCTGGACCAAGGGGGGCCAGCCCCTGGACAAGTCCCGCATCAACATCCGCACCACGGCGCGGGACACCATCTTCTACATCCGGCAGGCCCAGCGCGGGGACTCGGGGCAGTACCAGCTCTGTGTGAGCATCGGTGGCACCGAGGACAAGGCCATCCTGGACATCCAGGTGATTGGTAAGGACAGGCACGGACACCCCGGGGCTCATTTCTGCTCCTCGGGTTTTGGAAGGTCTTATCTGGGTGGGGTGGGACGGGACAGGAGCAGCAACGAGGTGGAGCTGCCTCTTCCAGGGGGATCTTTCTCCAGGGTCATGGAGGTGAATCCTCTGGTTGGGGGTGCAGGGTTTCTGCCAGCCCTTGCCCCTTGCTGCTTCTCCAGGGCTCATTTCTTCTCCTTGGATTTGGGTAGATCTTATTCTGAGTGGGATAGGATGGGATGGGATGGGATGGGGCAACAAGGTGAAGGTCCCTCTTCCAGAGGGATGTTCCCCAGGATCATGGAGAACTCCTCTGGTTGGGGATGTAGTGTTTTCACCAGCCCTTGGCCCTCACCCTTTCTCCAGGGCTCACTTCTCCTTGGATTTGGGAAGATCTTGTTCTAGGTGGGATGGGATGGGATGGGGTGGGATGGGAAGGGATGGGGCAGGACCAGCAACAAGATGGAGGTGCCTCTTGCGGTGGGATCTTCTCCAGGGTCATGGAGGTGAATCCTCTGGCTGGGGGCGCAGGGTTCCTGCCAGCCCTTGCCCCTCGTGTCTCCTCACCCCTGGTGAGCTGCAGGAGGGTGAGCAGAGACCCAAAGCGAGGAGCTCGGGGCACAGAACGCGTTGGGGTGTCACCGGGGGGGATTGTGTTTGCAGAGCCACCCGGGCCCCCCCAGAACCTGAAGCTGGTGGACGTGTGGGGCTTCAACGTGGCCCTGGAGTGGTCTCCCCCTGCGGACAACGGGAACGCCGAGATCAAGGGCTACAGGGTGCAGAAGTCGGACAAGAAGAGCGGGGTGAGTGTGGGCACCCCTGGTGCTGGGCACGGCCTGGGGGCAGAGGGGCAGCACGGTCAGACCTCAGCACAAAGAGGGATTGAAAAATTTTTGACCCGTGGCAGTGTTTTTTAACACATCAATGTATTTTCAGGCGTATTTTTGCACAGTGAAAAGGGAACGCTCTTGCTGTGCTTTTCTCACTAAGACTTTTCAGGCACTTCTTCCCTGTTATTTCCTCTGTTTTCCTCTGGCTTTAGCGTTGTGAGCTCATCGCTACGTTACGTCCAACGAGGATTAAGATTTTTAAAAAATAACCCTTGCATCTAAAGGCCTTGTGGTTATAAAAAAAAACAACCCCACCAAACAAACCAAACAAAGAAACAAACCCTTTTTTTTTTGTACAGCTGCAGTTCAGATCAGTTCAATATTTGCAGGTAAAGATTTATTGAAAACCGACCTCTTAGTTTAAAGGGTTGTGTGTGTACTGTGCTATAGTAGGACTTTCTGTATGTGTGATGTATGGGTGGGGCCCCAGAGGGAAGGGATGAAACTGGATTCTTGATTTGAGCAAAAAAAAAAAAAGAAAAGGAAAAAGGCAAATAGTTAAAGAAGTTTCTTGTGTGGTGCAATAGAAATAAATACAACAAAGCACCGACCATTTCCTGGTGAAGGATGGTAAGAGTAGACTCAGGCACTGTTGGCATCCTGCCTCCTCCATCCCTGGGACCTGCTGCCTTTCCCTCCTCCGTCCCTGGGACTTGCTGCCTTTTCTCACAGCTCCCTTTCCTCACGGCTCCTTTCCCCTCTCCAGAAGTGGTTCACGGTGCTGGAGCGCTGCACCCGCACCAGCTGCACCATCTCCGACCTCATCATCGGCAACTCCTACTCCTTCCGCGTCTTCTCCGAGAACTCCTGCGGGCTCAGCGACAGCGCCGCCGTCGCCGCCGGGCTCGCCCACATCGAGAAGACAAGTGGGGCACCCCCTGCCTCGGGCTTGGGGTGATGGGGGAGCAAGAGGGGCCCTGACCCCGTGGGGGCTTCCTGGGTGTTGGGGTGGTGGTGCTGTGCTGGTCCCCGGGGGTCCCCTGCCCTTATCCCAGCCCTCATTCCCTGTGCCGGGGTCAACCCCCTCGGGGGCAGTCAGGGTGTGGACATCCCTGGGGTGGGATGGAAGCAGGAGCTGGGGGCAGTGAGGGACAGCTCTGCCTTTGACCCCACAGCTCAGGGCCAGCAGAGACCCCTCAGGGGTCCAGCTCAGGGCCAAAGCTCCAAGCAGCCCCCTCAGCCCTGCTCCCCCTCCATCCTCCCTCAGCCCTGCTCTCCCTCTGTCCTCCCTCAGCCCTGCTCCCCCTCCATCCTCCCTCGGCCCTGCTCTCATAGAATCACAGAATCAGCTGGGTTGGAAGGGACCTCAGAGATCATCAAGTCCAACCCTTGATCCATTACCACCGTGGTTCCCAGACTGTGGCACTGATGCCACATCCAGTTTCATCTTAAAAACCTCCAGGGACGGAGAATCCGCCCCTTCCCTGGGCAGCCCATTCCAATGGCTGATTACTCTCTCTGGAAAGAATTTCTTCCTAAGAATTTCTCCCTCCATCTGTTCCCACCCTGCTCCCTGGGAGCACACGGGGAGTTGGGGGTCTCTACCCACCAGCTCCTGTTTCCGTGCACTGAATTTTGGGGGTGAAGTGGCAGATCCAGGGAGGTGCTTGGCCCGGGTGTGACCTGCTGCCCATGGGGTGGATCTCAGTGGGACTGAGGGTTGGCATCTCCCCTGTCTCCTGCAGGGACTGGGCACTGGAGTGGCTGGATGGGAAGACAGGGCTGGTCTGAGCTGAGGAGCAGGTCCTGGGGTCAGGGGTGGTGACTCCTGGCCCATGTGAGGGAGCAGAAGGATTTTTGGGTACCCTGTGACCACGTGTGGGTCAGCCCGGGAGCCCGAGCTCTGCCTCAGCCCAGAATTGATTATTTCCTCAGAAACCACTTACCAGCCACAGAAGATCCCCCCGAGGGACATGATGGAGCCTCCAAAGTTCACACAGCCCCTGACAGACCGAACCACCACCCGGGGCTACAGCACCCACCTCTTCTGCTGCGTCAGGGGCTTCCCCCAGGTCAGAGGGGCAGCACCTCCTCGTGTGTGGGCACCAGGGGCTTTGGGAGGGGGATGGAGGTGCTGGGAGATGGTTGGTCGTGCAGGGTTAGGGTTAGGTGAGGGTGGGGAGCTGCAGCTGCCCCCCTGAGTCAAACTGGGGCAGGTTTGGGGTTTTCCCCTCATGGGGTGGGAGACTGGTTGTAGTTCAAGACATGTCCTGTCTCCTCCTGTTGGAGGACGTGTGGAACAGTGGTTTGGGCTCGAAAATGGGAGATTTGGGTCTTCAAATTCCTTCTGAGTGTGAATCCCACCGTGGCCACCAGCTCCAGGCGGGGCCGAGGCGAAGGCAGAGGGAGGGGGCTGCATTTGGGGGTCACTCAGATTTCTCACTCTGCTCTGAACAAACGAACGGATCCTGCTGCTTTCCAGCCCAAAATCATCTGGCTGAAGAACCAGATGGAGATCCGGGAGGACCCCAAGTACATCGCGCTGATCGATCAGGGCGTGTGCTCCCTGGAGATCCGCAAGCCCAGCCCCTTCGACGGGGGCGTCTACACCTGCAAGGCCGTGAACGCCCTCGGGGAGGCCTCCGTGGACTGCAGGCTGGATGTGAAAGGTGAG